TGGTGATCTTTAGATGCTAGAGGCAGAGCCCTCACGGCAAGCAGCAGTGCCAGCTCCGGGCCACAGCGCTGGCAGAAAGTTGCTTATTGAAAGCATCTTCAAAGTGAAAAGGACAGGCACTTATCTCCTAACTGCCCCGTGGGGAGCAGTGTGGTTTCTGGTGGGAAGCGGGCCAGGGTTGCGTCTGCTGGCTTGGAGCAGCTGCAGGTTTATTTATAATGCCGTGGGTAGCACGTGAAGCTGCAGATAAACACGCGGGAGGGAAGAGCACAAACAACAACACCGAGGAAAAGCTGCTCTGGGGAGAGCGTTGCACTGAGCTGCAGCTATTGCGAGGCACCAAAGATGGGCCAGGGCCAGGCACGCCGCCCGCCCCATTCCCATGTGGGTTTGCTCTGTGTGATGATGGCACTGTGAAAGCATTGGCTGTGATAGTGAGTGAAGCTGCCCAGATTGCTGGTTGTAGCAGGCACCTTGTCTACACAGCTGGCGGGCACTAACAGATGGGCTTGGGGTTGCCCATCCACCAATTGGTCCTATTGGGTGCCTGGAGCAGGATATGAAGAGTCCATCCCCAGCATCCTTGTAGCCCTATTCAGACACTGGAAGCTGCTCTGAGGTCTCCACGCAGCTTCTCTTCTCCAGGCTGAACAGCCCCAACTTTCTCAGCCTGTCTCCATACAGGAGCTGCTCCAGCCCCTGATCATCCTCATGGACTTGTTCCAACAGTTCCATGTCCTTTTTATGTTGAGAACACCAGAACTGCACACAATACTGCAAGTGAGGTCTCATTCATTAGGGACTAGTGATAGGACAAGGGGTAGCAGGTTAAAACTTAAACAGGGGAGGTTTAGATTGGATAAGAGGAGGAAGTTCTTTACTGTAAGGGCGCTGGAGTGAGTTGCCCAAGGAAGTTGTGAATGCTCCATCCCTGGCGATGTTCAAGGCCAGGTTGAACAGAGCCTTGGGTGCCATGGTTTAGTGTGAGGTGTCCCTGCCCATGGCAGGGGGGCTGGAACTGGATGATCTTAAGGTCCTTTCCAACCCTAACTATTCTATGATTCTATGAGCATGGGGCAGCCTTCAGGTAGGATACAGAGACCTGCTGGGTGACATATGGCCACAGTTCACCGTGGATGCAGATTGCAAGGGGCTGAGGGCAGCCTGGTTGGGACTCCTTTGGGTAGGATGGGATGTTGTGGCAGAAAAATGGGTTCCCATTCCTTGGCATGCGTTGCACCTTGTGTGGGGCTTGTACCTGCTGCAGAACTCTTCACCATTGGTGTCTTGGTGCCTGGAGTCACCCATCCACTCAGATGTCTCCATGAATATCTCCTCATTTATCATACCTTGATAGCCAGAAGGAGCCAAGGCAACCTCCTGCTCAGTGTATGCTCCAGCAATGCATGCAGCTTCTCCAGCTGCTGGCACACCTGGAATGGGGAAGGGTACAAACAGAGCAAGATCTGCTTCTCTTGGCAGTTACCCTTCTACCTCCCTAGGCAATTTTGCATGAGTAAAATTGAATCTTGTTTTCCACACATCTCACTGAGTTCATCTCCCAGGCAAAGCTGTAGCTGCTATTTCCCTCATGGGCTATAGGGAACTCTCTTTGCTACTGTTTTCTCCCGGTGTAGATCCTTGCAGACCACAGTCAATCATCTTGCAAACTCCTCTTTGATGAGCTTCTGCAGTCCCCTCCACCCCATCCATCTGAAGAAGGAACAGACCCCAGGGGAATCTCAGACTCTGTGTGGTTGAGGTGGGTGGTAAGGCCATTCCATGATGGGATGTTGGAGCAGGGCTTGGCTGTGTCTTCATGCAGCCTTCTTCTCATCACTGCCTCTTACTGTGAAGATCTGAGCCTGGGGTTGCTGTTGAGCATCACTCCTGATTTTGCTTGCTGGATAAATGAATTAGTGTGCTTCTTTTGTCTGGAAATAAGAAACCTCTCAGGGATGAGACAGTGCTCTTCCCTGGAGGACCACATGGACCTTGGGTGGAGGGTGAGGATGCTCCTGGCCACGTATGCAAGCAGGATAACTCTGTGGCAGGCATTACTTGGGCAATAAGGTGTTTTGAAGTCAACTGTCAATGGATGGAGCAAATCCACCATCACCACTGAAATCTGTCCTGGATTCACATTCACTGTTGCAGTCAGTGCTTACCAGATTCACCCTGATTCAGGCAAAACTGCTAAGCTCTAGCATGTAAGTGGTCCCCAAAGGGACTTTAGCCAGGGCAGGAGTGTGGTAGGGAAGCTGTGCAAAAGTGGGGACCACAGGTTTGTCATCCACCCTAGACGAAGAAGGTTGATAAACAGGAACCTCAAAGAAAGGAACTTGTTTCAGGGTGGCAGAGTAAGGAAGCTCAGATAATGTAGTTGTCTTGGAGATGACATTTCACCACCCTTAAGCACCGCAAGAGGGAAAGGAACCTTTGGGTAGGAGAGTCTGTATGCAAGTGAAAGGAAATCTAATAGCTGGCAGGCGAACAGGGTAAATTCAGAGTAAAATTAATGGAAGATCTGCTTTTTTTGTTTAATGAGGAAATAATTGACCATTGGAAAAACCTGCACATTTCTGCTCCTCCTTGGCTTGGGTCAAAACAAGGTGGCCTTGGGCCAGCTGGGGTGGGTGCAGAGCTCTGAGGAGATACACAGGTTTTCAGCTGAGGTTAGGAGGCAATGGCTGCGTTCAGCATGCTCGGCAGTAATGCACCAGGAACAATTGTGTTTTCATTAAATAACGGGCTTCTAAAAATGCAGAATGCTTCAAAAGATGGTTTTCATTTGGGGAATTATTTATATTGGTTTAGAGTATATCTTGTTTTACATGGTAGTCACTGCTGTTAATGTATTTACTGTGCACCACTGTCACTGATAGTTAAAGTAACAAATTTAAGGGTTTATTTTGTAAATCAGTGCAGCTTCTAGCTAGCACTGGGTGAAAAATGTTGTTTTCCTTTCAGATCAAAGTGCCACTGGTGTTTTAATGAAAAAGCCAGATCCCCTGATAAAATAAACACTATTATCAACCTATGTAAACCAATATTCAGTTGAGAAAGAAGTTTCATAAATCTGAGTGACAACAGTTCTGGGCTAGCTGTTTTCCAGAACTCTTCCTAGTGGGAAAGTTTGGAAAGCACTATTTTTGCTTTTTACTCTTGGAATCAAACCAGATTTTGAAATCCTGGTTTCCTGTGAACTGGAAACCTCTGGCTCGAACCAGGAGTAACGAACAACCCACAGTCTGAAAGTGATTTACTGCCACAAGTAGGTGCAAGGAGTATATATCTGTGCTGAGGCACTCTTTGGCTGGGTGATGGGAAAAGGGGAGTTGATGTGCACCATTGGACAGGCTGAGAGCTCGGTTCTGCATCCAGGCTTTTCCCCTAAAGGATGGGTCTGCTCGAGGCTGAGCTGTTCTTCCTTTGTTGTTGCTCCACACAGTGAAAGTGGAGGAGGTGAAGCTGCTTTTGAGGGGTTTGTGCCAGTACGCTTGGGTTTTGATGGTGAGGAGCAGCAACGGGACACAGTTATAGCCAGTAACCCTCCGTCCATGTGTGGCCATAGGCAGCGGCACCGTTTGATGGGTTATGGGATGGTGGATAGAGCTCTCTACTGTATTGGGGTTGATCCCTCTCTGTGAGCTGATGGGAAGGTGTGCACATCTTGTGCATAAGATACTTTTGCTTGAGATCCCTAATGCTGGATATTTCCCCTGCCTGTCCTGCATTGACTGGGAGGGCAGGGAGAGTGAAGCTGCAAACTGAGTTTCGTATTTGTCTTGCCTGTGTGTGAGATGGGCGCTTCCCAGCATCCCTGTTAATGTAGTTGGCATCCTGAGTGCATGTTCTGAAATCAGAGGCATGTTCACATTCTCCCTATAGAGTAGAGGAGTAGAATTTCTTCTGTGGGCATCACCTTGGTCTCAGCCACAGAATGAGCCACAGGACGGTTGTATGCTGGCCTGCAGAGTCTGTCCCATGAGCATCACACTTTTCCCATGCCCTTTGGTGTGCTGAAACCTTTGGGTGTGATTTCTAAACTCCATTTCCTAAACACTGGAATATTGTCCTGTTTTCTTGAATTGTCAGCACTGGGCATAGTGCAGAAAAATCCCTGTGTTGCAGTGAGCATGCAACCGCAGACCTAGAGGATGGATAGTCACCCAGATTGTGGAAACCACTCATAGAAGTGTCTGTCTAATGTATTTCTGATAGGGCCATCTAACCCATTCCTTCCCTGGATGGGAAAAACCTGCACAGGTTAGCCCAAGTATTGGGGTGCCATAACCTGAGCATCCTTTCTTGTGCCATCGGTGTCGTTAGGCCGACCTGTAGCTATTTGGGATGAGGACTTCAGTATTGGAAGTGTGACAAGCTGTGGAAAGGACAAGGAATCTTTGCTACCTGTGTGGCTCAGGGAGACTTCTCTATGATAGTGGTGGCAGCATCGCTTGACCTATTTCAACCCAAATCACCTGGGAAAACAGGTTTAACATTACTTTAATTTTTTAGTACTTTTAAGTCCTAAAAGTGCTGTTCCTTCCCATGTGCTACAGCATCACCGAGGATTCTGCCTACCATGCAGAAGAAAACATCCCACTTCTGCAACAGAAACTGCAGAGGGGATGGAAGGAACTGGCTCAGGCTGGGCCTCTTGTCTGCAGCAGCAGAGCTGCTCTGGGGCTGTCCTACCCTGCTTCTGGATTTTGAGGAGCAAAGCCCACCCGGGCTGGAGGGTAGAAGGGCAAATGCTCCCACGCACTGCAGGAGACAAGGGGGCCAGGGAGAAATGGGCAATGGATGAGGAAGCAGATGGGTGGAGAGACCAATTCTTGGCTCCTCCACAGCTAAGGGCTGGCCAGAAAGCACAGCACAGGCTGGGCTCCATGGCTGCGGTCCTGTTCTGGCTCCTCTTCTCTTTTTTTCCCCTTCTCCTGCCTCAGGCCTTCTGCAGCCAGTCACTGACTCCTTGTTCCACCTTCCTCCTGCAGAGACGCTGATGGACTCCACAACAGCAACGGCGGAGCTGGGCTGGACGGTGCATCCTCCATCAGGGGTGAGTTAACCGATTGCATCGTGGGGGCCTGGAGCCTGGTCTGGGGTCTCCTGCTGCACATGAATGTAGGTGGGTTGGCTCAAGAGAAGTCAGCCACTGGAACAGGGTGCCTTGACCATGTGAAAAGGTCAAGTGGGAAAAGCACAAGAGGGGTGGGTGACAGTCGGGGTTTCCAGTAGTTCTCTAGAAGGTGATGTGTCCAAAAGATACCCCAGTGCTGGAGAAGTATAATTCTCACCCTATAGCATCAGGCCAGTGTGGTATTGGAGGAATCATACTCTATAAAACTGGTCTGCAGCCACTTACAAATCAGGAAGGGGGAGAAATGAAATGCTGAGGCCACTGTCATTTATCCCCAGTATCTCACTTGTATCCCCAAGTATCCCAGTATCCCCATTGCCCATCACTCGAAAAGAAAAGGATGGGGGCATTGACCTGCAAGGTTGCACCTACAGGAGCCATTTAATAAGTCCTGAAATGACTGTCCAGCATTCCTGGCATCTCATGGAGGGACATTAGCTGGCTCAGCAACGACCGTCTCTCTGCTTTGCTGGTACCAAGAGTTCCCCAAGCCATATCCCAAGAACACCCAGAACAGGCTTCTTTAAAGAAGAGCTTCAACAAGGTAGGGTATCTCTGCCCCTTTCTACTCACGACACAAAGCTGGAGCAGTCCCAGCCACCTCCATGACCTGCAGCATTTGTGTGGGGCATCAAGGTGCTTCAGAGCATCCTGCCCCAGCTCTGGCTGCAGTGGCCAGCAGCAGTGTGGAGCCTCAGTCCTCGACACCCCCAGGCTTGAATGGCCCAATCCAGCTTGGCCAAAGGCTGGAGATGCTCCCCCATCGCCTTGTGTAGAGATGATAGCTGATGGTAGCCCTCCGCAGGGGCTGGATGAAGATGTTCTGTGGGCCTCACCCTGAGGATGACAGCAAGCCCCCTCCCCAAGCTGACTTGGCAGAAGAAAAGAAACAGCCAAGAAAAGCCTCTGTTGGGGAGATTAAACGCAGCTCCCGAGCAGCCCTGCCGTGCTTGGGGCGCAGGCGCTGCCGGCACCGGTCCCCATCACCATGAGAAAGCCCCACGCCTGCCTGCGAGCCTGGCGCCTCACCAGCGCTGGCCCGGCCGCCAAAGGGGGATGATGGGCTCACAATGGGCAGGAGCAGAGGTCAAGTCTTTTTCTCTCCTCGCCCAGCCTTTCTTGTTTGCGGTGTTTCCATATGTAAAGCACGCCTTGCTCCCGCTCCCCGGCCCTGCGGTAATGAGGCCGGGGCCGGCTGGAAGCCGTCTCCCCGTATTATTGTGCTGCCTTCTTCTTTTGAGCTCCCAGCATGTTAATTAGAGAGCGAGGAGAAAAGGGAGAGGCTTCTAATTAAGCATCAAGGAAGCGCAGGGGCTGCTGTATGGGGGTGACTTTCTCTCCTGGCTTGGGAGCCCCCCGCTCGCTGCTGCAGGGATGTAGGAGGATGCTGGGTGTCTTGATCCTCACCTCCAGGGTGCTCCCATGTCCTTGTCCCCATCAGGATGTGGATGCCCATCTAGAGAGACCAGCACAGCCCTGCTGGTGCTGGTGGAATGGCCTCCCATTGCGGGCAGGATGTGGCGTGCCCTGTGCTGTGCACAGTGTGGGTGCTGATGCTGCAGTGCCTTTGCAGCTTCTCCCAGGATGGCCTCGTGCCCACTGACAGGACAAAGGGCATCCTGCCCATGGGTGACTGGTGAGGTTGGTGCAGTCAGCATCATCTGGGAGACAAAATCTGCTTCCCATTTACTGCCTCCCTATTAAAGGTCCAAAAGCCCAAACAGTTGTTTTTTCCCTCACTGTGGAGCTCCCCTGTTGCTTGTAAGTGTTCCTATGCCTACCTCCACCATCTGCTGTTCATCCCCTAGCTGTAGAGACTCTCCTTCCACCATGCACTGCTCCTGCCTGACCAGGGATGAGCTCTTCAAACTCATGTCCTGAGACCTCCCTGGGGGCCCTGCAGATGTAGATGGGGCAGTAATGGGCATCTCCAGGTCCTGGTGGCTGACATGCTGTTTCAGAGTGGGTGTCAGGAGTGGTCCAGGTGATGGAGAGCCATATCAAAGGCAGGGCAGAGGAAGGAATTGCTTCCCTATGTTTTGCCTTTGATTCCTTCACCTGCTCCCAACCAGTGCCCTAAAAAAGGTGGAGATCCTGCAGTTTTCCACTACCACACTGAGTTTATTTCTGGATGAGAAAGCAAATGTTCCCCCTGTGTTTTGTGAGGATGCTCTCCTTCTCCCCCAGCGACGGCAGCAGATTTCCAGTCACTGCCAATCAGAAGTGGTTGGAGCTGTTTGGGGATCTTCCCTGACAGCCTTCTGTTGGGCTGTTAGCCTTGATGTGCTAGGAGCAATCTGTCTCTCATCCCCTGAGCCTCCCTCTACAGTCCTGGGTGCTCTTGTGAGGCTGTTTGCAGGCTGAGGGCTGGGGATGCTCTGCTCCTCATGTTTTCTGTGCCAGACTTGGTCCCAACGTTGATGCTGGACCTGGGCTGTTGGGGGTACCTTACCCTGGGTGTCATGATCCTGCATCCAGGGCAGGGTTGTGCTCAGGGTCTGATGTCCGTGGGAAACAGCTCGGCTTCCACTTGAGCAGGTTTATGAACAAATTAATTGGAAGCTGCTCCAGCTGGCTGGGACTGTCACATGCTAGCTGCATCCCGGTCCCTGCCACCAACATCAGGAGGGATGCTGCTGGTGGGGAGCGGGCAGCACAGAGAGAGATGCTCTGCACTCCTGCAAGGTCTGGGCTGGGGGGATGCTCTGGTGAGCCAGGTCAGAGGTGCTTTGTTTTCAATCTGTGCTCACCACAGAGGAGCGGTGGCCGGTTACTGCCTGCAGCTCTGCCCTTGTCTGGTCTCATCCTCAAGTATCCCCATCCTAAAAAGGATGGAGACAACAACAAAAGCTGAAGGATTTGTTAAAAACCAGCTTGGGGAAAGGGCAAGGAGCAGGACAGGGCCAGGAGGTGTCACAGCAGCCCCAAACTTTTCAGAGACTCCTCCAGAGTTACCTGTTAGCCAGCTCGGGGAGGTGGGCTGAGCTTCCTATAGGGAAATGTGATCTCCAAGTGTTTTGCTGAGAAGGATGTTACTGTCGTGCCATTGCTCATAGGGCATCCCATAGTTGCAGTCTAGGACAGCTGGGGTTGAGCCCTGTGTAAATGTGCAGGAGGGACTCCAGAACATGTTGGTCTTTGAAGGGGCAAGGATAAGAGCTACCAGCAGGATCTAACTCAGCATCTCCCTTTGTGGGTGCACAGTGGGATCAGCCAGGCTCCCATAAACCTTCCCTCCTGCCCATGGGGAGAGGCTGATGGCTATGGGCCCATTGCACAGCCGGTCCTTGGGCTGAGAGGAGGTTTTATGGCTGCGTTACGCGCTCCGGGTCCTGTCTGCCACGTCTCTAACTGCAGCAGCACCAGTGGGAACACATCTGCTAAAGGCATCGTGTTCCTTTGCTGCGATGCTCTGCTGCGCAGTGCAGCCCACGGGCAGGAGCCCCTGCTAAAGACATTACTGCCTGCAGAGGTGGTGCACGACCCTGCCATGCTCTGCCACCCCCAGCAGAGGTGCTTTAGCATAAATCCAGGCATAGAACATGGTGCTCATGGCAATGAGATTGACCCCAGCACTGCGGAGGTCTTGGGCCACCTTGTTCCTACAGAATGGAGCCTGCCATGTAAGCAGTGAGGGTGAAACCCTGCCGGGAGGTGTAGGTATAGGCTGTTGGCAGGGTGATGCTGGAGCAGTGCTGGGTGAGGTGGGCACAGCATGGGGCAGCTGGCATTGGCAAAGTCTGCCCTCTTAGCACATGATGTGGTTGGGAAGAGGTGAGGTGGGTTGGGAACAATAGTTTGGTGCAAGGCCTTGATTTCTTGTGTCCTGTCCGCAGTGGGAAGAGGTGAGCGGGTACGACGAGAACATGAACACAATTCGCACCTACCAGGTGTGCAACGTCTTTGAATCCAGCCAGAACAACTGGCTCCGTACCAAGTACATCCGGAGGCGAGGAGCACATCGCATCCACGTGGAGATGAAATTTTCTGTCCGGGACTGCAGCAGCATCCCTAACGTCCCAGGCTCCTGTAAGGAGACTTTTAACCTCTACTACTTCGAGTCGGACTTTGACTCAGCCACCAAGACTTTTCCTAACTGGATGGAGAATCCTTGGATGAAAGTGGACACGATTGCTGCCGATGAGAGCTTCTCGCAGGTGGACTTAGGTGGGCGGGTGATGAAGATTAACACCGAGGTGCGCAGTTTTGGGCCTGTCTCCAAGAATGGTTTCTACCTGGCCTTCCAGGACTATGGGGGCTGCATGTCCTTGATTGCCGTCCGTGTCTTCTACCGCAAGTGTCCTCGTGTGATCCAGAATGGGGCCGTCTTCCAGGAAACCCTCTCAGGAGCGGAGAGCACCTCGCTGGTGGCAGCCCGGGGGACGTGCATCGCCAATGCAGAGGAGGTGGATGTGCCCATCAAGCTGTACTGCAACGGTGACGGCGAGTGGCTGGTGCCCATCGGCCGCTGCATGTGCCGGGCAGGCTACGAGTCAGTGGAAAACGGGACTGTCTGCAGAGGTAACCGCTGGCTTCGGTCTCACACCACACAGTGCCTTGGGGCTGGTGGCTGTGCCCATGGGGCAGTTGGGATTTGCAGTAGGGATGTGCATGGGCTGCCTGGGAGCAAGCTCTTTGGGCAGGGGTGGGAGAGGAGCATGTGTATGGATGCGACTCCTCCAGCTCCTCACTTTGTGCCCTGGGCCCATCCATTTGCATTAACCTTTGCGTCCTCAGAGGCAGTGGGTCCAGGGTGCTCTCCAGGTCTCGGAGGTGTGTGCCACCAATCTGCAGTCACCTCTCAAAATACTTTGGCTGTTTTCACTTCAGTTTGTGCCCTGGGCCTTGGTGTGACCTGAAACGCTTCTGGGATGAGGGGAGCAGGAGTGCAGGCAGCCAAAGGTGTTGTGCTGGGAGGGAGCAAGTTGTCCCCAGGGTTTTTTGCATGGTGAGGTGCAAATGGCCCAGGGTGGGACATGCTCACGGGACTGTTCAGGGCCAGGCTCACTGGTGTCCAGGTGAAGAGGTGAGCTCCTGCAGCAGCCAGAGGCCTCTTGCCCTGTAGATGTTCTCCTGCCATCTACAGAGATGTTCAAAGCAGGCTCTGGGGGTGCCTGAGTACTCTGGGGCCAGCGTGGTCCCGGTGAGCAAGAGGTTCTGCACCACCCGTGCTGAAAGCACCATGCCCGCACTCATCTCTCTGTTCCTCCTGTGTCATGTGTGGGCTTGGGGAGGTTTAGAAAGGAGCTGTTGGGGAGAGATGGGGACGTAAGAGCTGCATGTTTAATGGGTACCTGCTGCTGTCCCATGCACAGAGCAAACTGCAGCGATTGGCGAATGGCTGAATATCAAAATCCTATTACAGGTTTGATAGCATCATCGTGCTCTGAGCAGAGCTGGGGTTTCTCTGAGATCAATTACAGATACGTCAGTGGGCACTGCAGAGTGTAAGGAAGGAGCTGCATCTCTTCTCTTTATGCTGTGGGAAAGGGGTAGCTGGGTTGCACCAAGCAAGCATGGGGGGGAGCTGATGGAGGGGGTGGACAGTCTCTGGCCATTCTCAGTTGGGACTGCAGGCTGGGTTGTCCCCTTGGAGAGGGCCCCACGTCTCCTGCTAGTGGCTGGGCTGTTTCTGCATCAAACTACGGCTCCTGATGTGCTGTGGGTGTCAGTTGATGTTTGTGATTTGAGCTGCTCCTCACCGGGCCGCTGCACATCTCTTCCCACCAAGCTCAGGGTGATCGTGTCCTCCAGCTGTAGCAGGGATGGGGTGGGGATGGGGACAGCAAGGAAGCACTGTTGCAGCACAGTGTGGAAAGGGAGCCTGGCTAATCCCAGCCTTGAAGGGAAGACGGGTGTTTTACAACACGCAAGTGAGCATTCGTAGCAACACCAGGAAGCCAAAAGGATTCGTGTCAGCTTTTCCATCTCACCTGATTTATTTCCCTCGTGTGAACCCAGCCCTGCACTTTGCTCTGGTGCAGCTTCGGTCTCCAGAGACTCCCTGGTCCCACTGCCAGCATAGCCAAGGGATGATCCTCTCGCATGCCCCGTGGCTCCCAGGTCTCCTTATGCATGCTCTGGCCTGGCAGAGCCAGGGGCCCCGGTGGAGGGAGCAGGCAGGAGGGAGAGGCTGGGTCTCCTCTTTGCTGACAGCAGGAGGATTTGGGGAGGTCCAGTACCTCGGCAGCTGTTTCTCCAGCCGGTGCTGGCATGCACCAGCCCCACTCTCCCCAGCAGCATCAATCATAGGGTGGCCAGCAGCCTGATGTCTCTGTGGGGCAGCTGGCTCTGGGGCTGCCTCTTTCCTTCCCCTTCCCTTTCCCCCTTTCACCTTCCCCTTCACTTTCATCTTCCCTTTCCCCTTCTTTCTCTTCCCTTTCTTCTTCCCTCCTGCACGGGGCTGGATGGGACCCCAGGACTGTGTCAGACTGGGACACATCATCTGCTTTCCCCCAGAAGAAGAGTGAGGACTGGGAGGAGAGTGCCGTGGAGTAGGCAGGGCAGCCATAGCATCCCTCTCCTCTCCCAGCGCCTCCAGTTAGCCCCACAGAGGACTGGGAAAGGAGCTGGTCACCCCAGCTCGGTCAGGCAGCTTAACTCAGGAAGGACCTGCAGGATGCATCCCTGTCCACCTCCCATTGTGTCCTTGCCCCTGGTGCCTGCAGAGGTAGGGTACGAGCCGCCTGGTTTGGGGGACTCACTTGTACATGTAGCTGGCAGGTTTTCTCATGTTTCAAGGGGTGGGAGGGAATCTGGGCCCCTTTCCAGCAGCAAAACAAAAGCAAATCTGAGCTGGCTTTCGGGGCAAAGTGCTCTCACACGGCTCGGTTGCCCAAACAGGACGTGATGGGGAGCGTGGGGAACATGTCACTGGTCCTGCCCTGCCAACGGGTCCTGGTGGAAAAGGGCATCCCAAGCAATGGACAGCCCCTTGGTGCAGCTGAAAGGCACTGAAAGGAGCTGCTCATTTTCTCCGCTGGGCTTTCCATCTGGCTACGGCAGCGCAGGGCTGCTCACGGCAGCGCACACAAGGGATATTGATGGAGGAAGTTCATGCGTCTAACAGCTTAAGCTCTCCTAAGCTCGCAGCCCCAGCACAAAAGGATTTGGGAGCAGTTAACAATTCTGTGTGGTTAAGAGATTTCCATTTCGCTGGGCCTCGCTGCCCCATCCCGCAGGCTCCTGCCTGCTCTCTCCTCTTTGCTTCCCGGCTCCTTCCCGCTGCATTGGCGAGGGGCTCCCCACGCCGCCTCCCCCAGCCCGGCCCTGTCCTCCTCACTTCACCTTCTCCTGCTCCCTGCCTGCGTCTTTTTTCTCCATCTCCCTGTTCTTTGTCTGCTGCCTCCCCCCTCTCCCCCGCCTGTCCCTCCCATGCAGCATATTAAGCGCATTTCTCTCTCTGCCTCCCTTATTCATTGGCTCCCCTCTGCAACGGCAGAGGCAGAGCTATTGTGCTGCCTGCTCTCTCACTGTTTGGGCTGCACCATAGAGAATACTGCCTGCGAGGGTCTCTGCTTGCTCAGGGATGGCAGTCCCTGGCTGCTGGTCCCGGCTGTTGAGCCCTGCATCCGTCTCCATCTCCTCCCCATCTTTGGAGGACGTGGAATCATCACAGAATCCCAGACTGGTTTGGGTTGAAGGGATCTTAAAGCTCATCCAGCTCCAACCCCTGCCACGGGCAGGGACCCCTTCCACTGGAGCAGCTTGCTCCAAGCCCCTGTGTCCAACCTGGCCTTGAGCACTGCCAGGGATGGGGCAGCCACAGCTTCTCTGGGCACCCTGTGCCAGCACCTCAGCACCTTCACAGGGAAGAGCTTCTGCCTAAGAGCTCAGCTCAGTCTCCCCTCGGGCAGGTTCAAGCCATTCCCCTTGGCCTGTCCCTACAGGCCCTTGTCCCAAGCCCCTCTCCAGCTTTCCTGCAGCCCCTTTAGGTGCTGGAAAGCTGTTACAAGGTCTGTGCCCTTGCAGATATGTGTCCTGCACGTAAGCTCCTTGATGAGCTTCCTTGCCTGTGTGCTTGTGTGTAATTTAGAGGTCTGGCACAGCAGATCTGCCACCAACCCCATTGTGTGCTGGGAATTTGGGTGCAGAAGTAGTGATGTTCATGTCACATATGCAGAGAACCCAGAGGTGTGGAGAGCAGTGAGGGTGTGTTACAACTGTGCTGTGCTCGGGTTTTGGAGGGGGCAAATACATGGTAATGGCCTGGAGACACATGCAGGTTTCTCATGTGCCAGGGAAGGGTATGTCCTAGGTGTCTCAAAGTCACCTGCCATGAGTACATGATGTTTTGGAGATAAAGACTATTTATGGCTCCATGCCTGCTTCAGGTCTGGCCCATTAGTGTTAATGCTGGACCCAGCCAATAAATTGTAAGGCCTTAGGGATAATTAGGTTCTTACAGGAAGCATTCCTGGTTGAGCTGAAGCAGATACAGCCAGTCGTAAATGTTTGCAGAGATGGAGAGCTGCCTGTTAAACACTGCCCTTGGCACTGCTTTGGCTTTTCCATTGGTAGATCCACCATCCCATGCACAGGATGCATGTACGTAGTGACAACCTATGTGCCAGGGGGATGCTGAGATTTCCTACATCCCCTCTTTGCTTTAACTATTTCAGCAATGGCATCTCTCTGAGTGCTTTTGAAGAGCCTGCATCCCTGTTCCTGGAGGTGTGATCTGACATGTGTCTGTGCTGAAATGCATGTTCGTTGCTTGCGCCCAGCTCACTGAGGCATCTGGATTGCTGCGTATCATCTTCAAGTATTTACCACACTACAACTTCCATGTCATCAGCTAACTTTACTGGGAATGCTTTGGGCTTTCTCCTGGGTCATTGATAAAAATGTTAAATAGCCCAGAGGCATGAACCATATTTGTTGGCTCTAGTAGAAACAGACCTGCTCTCTGCACATTCCCTGTTTAGATCTCAGACCATAGCAGCATCAGCTTGCCAAGTTTTAATGCATTGAATATGTCCCGCAGTGTCGGTGGACTTACTAATTTCTGAGTCAAAATATCATGTGTTACCAAGGGAAATGCTCTGCAGAGGTTTGGGTGTGTTGGGTTAACACTGTGAAACTCTCCCAGCCAATCTTGTAATTGCATCAAAAAACCATACAAGACTAATTTGCCTTAATCTCTTTTCCATAAGCGTACGTAGGTTGGCACTACTATTACTACCTCCCTTTCATCCTTTGCTGGCCAAATCCTGTAGCTGGCACATCCTTATCTGACTGGTACTGACGCTGCAATGGCACTCCTAAAATAGCCAAGACTGCCTCATTTAACAAAGAGCTTTTTCCTACAGCTCTGAAACATCCTGCTACTTGACGGTGTCTGGAAAGTGAGCATTATCTGCCCACTGGTTCATCAGCCATCTCTTTAAAAACTCATAGGTAGATGCTATCCTGACACACTGAGTTAACAGTGTTTAACTTTAGTAGCTGCTATTTAACATCTTGAGTTACTGCTGGAATGGAAAGTATTTCACCATCATCCTATAAGATGATTACATCAC